TCTGTGTTCGCTACTCGCGGCCCATGAACCACTAGTCAGTACAATTTCGTGCAAAGAATTTAACTCTCACGGTTAAGATCAACATCGATTCGCGAACATACCGCTTCAAATTGTGAATGATTCAAAGTGCAAAAATGCCATGACTGGGCGACAAGAACGCTATTGACTCACTAAAGGTTTAGAAGACAGCTAGTTGAACTCTTTCAGAAGGTTATCAATAGCAAAGGTGATATAAAGCGTGGACTAAACATGGATTTTCTACCATAGCTTAGATAAAAAGAGCCATGGCTCCACCTTCACTAATGAGCGAAGTAAGGGTAGGGCTCTCACCTAACAGAAATTGAGTGATTCAGTATGTGGGGCTCGACACTGTCTGTGACTTTTCTGCACACTAAAATATTGAAGCTTGAGAAATATGAAATCAACAGAGGGAAGAGATAGGCTCTGCTTAGTACAAAAGAACGATTATTAGGAAGTTTGATGAGGAATTTCTTTTCATAAGAGAAAACGTGTATTGATAGAAACTAATAGAGGAAAGGGCCACAAATTGTGAAGAGTGATTGCTGAATTTGCACTATAACTATTTCTTTCAAAGCGATTGATTTGTCTAGGAACTTCAAACGGCAAGCATCGCTGGAAGTACTGCGCTTTAGAATTGAACTTTAGAAGCATATAGATCAAATATCGTATGCTTTCAATGCACTGAATGGAGAATAAACCTGTAGTGACAGTTAATTAAACGAATCCGTTCCTTAAGAAATAATGATTTTTCTTCGCAGATACCCATGTCGAGGCACTTGTGGGCCAACCGTAGGCAGGCTGAAGTGAATGTTTAACAAAAAAACCCCCCGATCATTTTGAACTCGCACCATGGTAATTCCGCGATAAGTAGAGGGCGCTGAGTAGTGCATCTATCGCATCGTTGCCCTCTGCGTGTTCAAAAGCAAACTTCGCAAAGTCTACATCTCCTTTTGCTATGGATTTAACCCCGAGTTTCAACCATACTTCTGGATTTTTTGGAGCAATGGAAAGAATCTAAATAAAAGATATCTTATGAAAAGCAGCCAAGGTAAATTATATTACCTGCAGGAAATGTTCAGCAGCATTGTCGGTCTCAAGCTTAGCCAAGTTCTTACGAATGCCAACATAAAGTCGAGCCATCTTAGACAGCCTGGAACTCGCCTGTATAAAAAACCAACAGTTCATAACATAAAGTCAGATACGACAAAAAATTACTGTAATATTGACAAGCTAAGTAACCTTTCATCGACTTCCGCCTCCCAGTCAAAAATCTCCGTTTGAAAGACTTTCACGAG